CTCAAATTGTATATTTGATTATAATATTTGCAATCCCCAATTTTTACTGGGCCAGCCAGCTCCAGATATCACCTCATCAGCAGAACTTACACCAAAGTCTCCTCATCTCCTGAGTCTCTGATAGTGCTTTTCCCCTGAAACACCGGGAGCAGGGCGGGTGGGCATTTTGTCCTCAACTGCCCAGCCCATGTCTGTGGTTGGGATTATTTACCCACCTTTCTGCAGTTGTTACTTGCTGTTCTTTGGGTTACAGAAATATCCAAGTGTGGCAACCCAAAGCATTTAGGGATCATGAGTCACATCTCCTGACAAAACTGGCTTCAAAATCTTGTTATTTCTTTTAAATAAACAAATTCACAGGTGTCTTGGTTGTTCTTTTGGTTTGCCTTCAGATGGCAGAGCCTTCCAGCAATCACAGGTTTACACTTTCCTTTGCCACCACCAGCATTAAACAAATACTCTTTCTTTCACTATTCTTTGTGAATGGAAGTTTAAGGTCTCAGCCACAGGACTTCCAAAGCAGGAGCTTTCAGGGATCTCTGAGCCAGGACAAGGCTCCCGGGAGGGTCCAGAGGAGCAGTGTTGCCACCTAGGGACTCCCGAGAGCTCTGAAAGAGTTTTCTCCAAGCTGGGATGTTCTGACGCGTTTCCCTGGGGTTGTGGCTGTTTGCCTGCTCCCTCTAGGTGTCCTGGGAGGGACGAGGGTTTTGGAGATGGTCTTTTTATCTTGGCTTTTGTTTCCCCGCGAAATTAGTAGCCCTTGTTGCTCAGCACTGTGTGCCAGCCAGAAATCCTGCCAGCAGATGCCTCATAAAGGCTGTCACAGCCCCTCCATCACAGGCTCCAGGAATACATCCATCCCAAAATGCACCTCTGCACCCGCTACTTATCGATCCAATTTTTCATGTTTAGCTACAGAAGTTTTTCAGCAGACAAAAATTGAAGGAGGATTTGCTGCTCCTGCCCTGGCAGGAAGATTTACACATGAGCAAATGATTTGTAACAAACACCTTGTAAGATAGATGGAGCTGCTCCTCTTGTTCACAAATTATTCACAGACCATGGGCTTGAAGAGGAAGAAATTTTTTCCTTGCTTTGTAAAGTACACACAGATGCGTTTCTGTATTATTATTTATGACAACTTTCACAGTAAAAAACACTCCTGAGAGCATCTCTGCAGAATTATTGCAGCTCATGGGTTGTTTAGTTGGCAGTCTGGACAGAGGACAGGTTTGGCTGGGTTTCTTTTTTTTTTCTTTCTCCTTTTTTTTTAGTGATTGCCTTGACCAGCAAGATTTTTGTCACGGGTTTGAGCCTCTGGGCATTACAAGGTCATAAAATTGAAGTTCCTGGCCTCCACTTCTCTCACCAGTCTGCTCAAGGGAGCGTATCACCAAACCAGCCCCTGGGTTTTGCTGGGTGAGCACAGCTCTTTAAATCAGACTCCGGGGCAAAGATTGAGTTCTGCAAGTGCTCCCCAGCATGATGGGAAAAGTGCTGCTGCTAGAACTGTTTCTGGAAAGATGGGGCATTTCTGGAGCCTCAGGTGCCACCACAGGGGGAAGCTGTGAAAGATGGACAGGTAACCAGAAACAGGGACCAGGGACAGCAGGGATCAGAAAGGCATTTCTGGGTAGAGCCTTGGGGTTTGCTTCTATTACATATTTCCCATATAAAGGGCTGGATGAAACCTTCTTTTCCCTACTTCCAGAGCCAGAATTAAAATGCACCACCACGTCCTTGGCAGTGCTGTGAGGAGGGGCAGATCCTCCATCCAGCTGTGCTACACTGACATACACACAAAAAATATAGTTTTACCTAGAAGATCCAACGCTGCCAGGTGTTAACAAGCTCACTATTCAATCTGTCTTCATGGCTCCTGTGTTCCAGATGTGTCTATGTTATGTGTTGATTGGTGCAAATCATGTACATATGTAAAACCCAGTGGCCTGTGAGCTGAGCAAACACACGATTGCTCCACAAATCCATTACTGGTAGGAGCAGATGGGTTCCTTGCTTAAATAAATGCATTTCAAACTCCTCTAGGTCTGCTTTCAAAACCACCAGTTTGTTTATATAACATGGTGCAGCCAGGCTCCTACACCCTGTGCTCACCAAACCCTCCCTGCCCTGGAGTTCAGGTGCTTTCATTTCTGCATAAAGAAAATCAGAACGTGAATACAGTTTTGCAAACATAACTGAAAAAAAATACATCTCTTTTGATTTGTAAATAGGAGCAAAGCATTGTTTACATTCAGGCACTGTTAATTGGAAGCATCCACAATACGTCACTCTGAGGCAGAGCAAAATAGACACAGAATAAAAATATCTCCAGTGACCTGGTCCTGTAAATGCTGAGCAACTTCATGCTCTGGGAGCAGAAGTGCCTTGAAACAAAACGATTTTATTCATTCCTCCTGGAGCTGGCTGGAGTCAGCAAGGGAGAGAAATAAAAAGCTGTTTTCCCTTATTCTGCTGCTGCGTTCTCAGCTGACCAAGAAAAGTGAATGGGCTGGGGAAAAGCACGTTTTGTTTGCTTTGTGGGTGCTTGGGTGGGTGTTGCTCATTCACCTGGGGGAGCCCTTTTCCAACACGGGCCAGTTCTCTCACAACCTGCAGCTCTCCAGACACCCCGGAGACCTTCTGCTGGAGAGGAGGAGGAGGAGGAGATGCTCACGTGGCTCATCAGCTGCCTGTGCCAAACGGAGCTGGTGTTCCAGCCCCGCTCCCCAGCAGTCGCACACGGTCGCTCTCAATGGCCACCTTTGTTGGCAGCCCTGGGCAGGAGCTGCTGACGTGGCACCCGCCGTGTCACCTTGTCCTGTCCCCTGTGCCGGGCCTTCCGCCACACGCAGGGGCTCAGGATACCTCCTCCCTAATTTTTTATGCTCGCTTTTATGCCTTAAAAAGAAAACGAAACGAAGAAAAGAGCCTGGCAGAGGAGGGAGGAGGTGGAGGCATTTCCCCCTCGATTGGTCCTTCCTGTTTCTTCATTTCCTTATCTCCCCCCTTCCAGCCCCTTCCTCCACCTGTTGAAACGTGGCTACCACCATTAGGGAAAAGCTGCAATTTTAGTGTGTGAAGCTGTTACAATTTTAAATAATTGCTTTTAAAACAACAACCCGGAGGAAGACACCGTGTGTCCCCCTCTCCTCTGCCACCAGAGAACCCGGTGGCACTGACTGCCCTGCGCTGGCACTCCCGGGCAGACACACTCCCACCCTGGCAAAAGTCAATGTTTACACTTGTCACATATATTTTTAGTGCATCCTAGACCCAGCCGTGCCTCAGCACAGCCTCGTGGGCCAATTGCCACGGGGAAAGGCACCTCCCGGCAAATGTTCCTTCATTTCTGGAAGGACAGAGGAAAGAACAACCCCCCAAGTGAATCCTGGCAGGAGCTGGCTGCAGGTCCCCATTTCACCAGTCCTTCAGGTTCTTCCAGTTCACGGGGACAAGGTGCACAGCAAAGGCATTTGCTCTGCAAGTGGCCTCCCAGCACCTGACCTCTGTGAGTGCAAACAACATTTAGAGCAGGAAAATGCCTGCACAGACCTCTCACCCTGGGCTGGCTGCACTGCAGAGGGATCATCAGGGTAATTCCAGTGGGTTTTGGTGGGCTTTTGGGGTCTGTTTCTAAGAGCACCTCAAAGAATTACCAATAATAGCGACCAATTTCCAATTTTCCTTAATTTTGTCTCAACTGGCTTGTCCCTGTACTGCTGGGATGCTGTTGAGTGTTGCACATCAATTAACATCTTCACTGTGGGCACTGCAGAGCCCAGGCCATCCCCAGCAGAAAGGATTTATGCCCCTGCCTACATTAAGTGCCAGTCACTGCTGCTTAGTCCCACTCGACATCAGATCCCTTGAAAACATCCCATAAAGCAGCTGTCCCCAGTTCAAGCACATTCTGACCAAGCTCAGGACATTGAAGGAATGGAAAGCAAATAAAACTTTCTCTTTTCCTGTTCTGTGGAAGGGATGGTGCATTTCACAGGAGGATAAGGCCAGCCTTCGTGGTGCCAAAGTCCATGGCTCACCTCATCCCTGGCTGGTGGCTCCTCTACCTCTCCTCTGCTCCACAGAACGATTTATCAAGTGGTTTTGAAAGAAAAACCAACAAAAATAAGTAAAGAAAGAAACAACTGGCTAGAGGTTCTACTGCCTGGGCTGCCCTTTGTCTTCCAGCCTGCCTGCATAAATGTCGTTATGGGAAAGGCTGGAGATCAGATACAGCCCTCAAGTTCAGCAGCTCTAACGGGCAGTGCAAGATAAGGCTCTGGATGAAGATAACTGCAGCAGTTATATGATTAATCCCAACATCTTCAGACATTTTCCCCTCTGCCTGTAAGAGCTGTGTGATCCTAAACATCCTTAAGGGAAACAACCCCATTCTGGCTTGCAAATAACACAGACATCTTTTTATATACGACGAAAGACCAAAACCTCCAAGCTGACAGTGCCCCACAGGAGTGCTCAAACCGGGCACTCCCGCACAGCTCTTTCCAAAAAGCAACTGGGAACCGGACGGGGCGAGAGCCCGGCCACAGCTCCAGCCAGAATGAGCCTTTTGTTCGAGCAAATGCAAATGTCAGGAGAGGGAATGGGCCAGTTGCCACCCTGCAGCAATGCCCCCGGCAGCAGGGTCGGGCTGGACGGTCCCAGATCTCTCTGGAAAAGAGGCAAAGTCAAAATCCCAGCTCTAACCACTCTGGCTTTTGGAGAGAGGCATCTCAAAGTCAGTCTCGCAGGCGATCCTCGTCTCCTCTTACACAGCACTCGCTGTCTAATTCCATCAGGGAGATATTTAAGTACATGGAGTCCATTTGTTCAGGCATCAAAAAGCCAAACTCATTGGACATCTCAGACCAAAATGTATTTTAAAATGCATTATTAGCTGCACACTACCCCCAGCAACACGCAGAGATGGAAGTTTCAGTGGTGGCTAAAGGCAGAAGTCTCTCCTGCTTGGTTAAGGTTTCCCTCCCCACCTTCACCTTTGTTGTATGTGAGCAGGGTGATCCTCCTTCCCATCCATCCTCCTTTTCTGAGGTTTGATGGGCATGGTGGGAGAGCTGAGTGAGCAGGACTCTTCCAACAGCAGCAGCAGAGGCCAAGGAAATCAGCCCGGGAAGGGCTTTGGGATGCTGTAGAGAAGGAAAGGGATAAAGTTATGATATTACTACAGCATGACTGCTTACAAGATTTTAGTCCTGTGTTGCCATTGATAATTAACTATAGATCAGCAAAGAAACATTATTCTCTACCATATGTACGTGTATTTTTAGATAAATACGTTCCACAAATGCTTTATAAAGGAAGTTTCTTTGCCTAAAGGATCTACTGCTTCCCAAGCCTCCGGTGGTACAGCATAAACCATGTTACTAACAACAATTGTTCCTGCACTTGTTTCTGGAACACAGATCACAAAGCACAGTTTATTTGGGAGTGTCTGTGTACTCTTCTATTTCTGTCCTCCTTATTCAGCCTTGTAGAGTAAAACAGGCAACTGTGAGTCTGGAGCAGGACACAGCCCTGCCCTGGAGAGACTACAGTCTCCATCAGATAATACACTGCAAATTATACATGGTGAGGCACAGACCTCAGACAAGCAGGAGGGGGAGAACAGCTTGGTTTGGGAAGGAAACTAAGAAAAGCAAGTCTTAAGGAAGACCTTGAACAGAAATCAGGAGGAGGGAACCTAGGAATTTCAAGGACTAAGCAAGGTAAGAGAGGCTGTACAGCAGAACACTGGAAGAAGAACTGATTCATAGAGATAAGATGCAAATGCTGAATTTAACCAGGTCTTCTGGTATGTGATTTTGGGCAGGCAAATGACTTCAAATACTGAATTCTTAAAACCGCAGAGACACCAACAAAAAAATGAAAGACAACTTTACTGACCTCCAAAAGCTCATCACCCCCAAGTGCATACCATCTAACGAGATGATCATCAGGTCAGCCTTGCTCCCTGGTCTCCAGTGTCACCAGCAGCTTCACTCACTTCCCACCAGTCCCTGCCACACGGCAGAGGCGAGGTGGGATGGATGGTTTACAGACTGAGCAGTTCCACCACACAATGCCTGTGCTTCCCCCCTCCAAACTGGGCCAGTGGAGCACCTCCCACAGCAGCTCCTTGAGGCTGTGCCTTTATTTGTGGGCTCAGCAGAGCAGGAACAAGCACAGAGGCGTCGGAGAGAGGACAGTGCAAGATGTAAGTGAGGCAAGGGCAGGGAGAGGGGACACCGTTTATTGGGTCAGCTGGAGCACTTGGAAAAGCTACACATGCTTTCAGGCACATTGGGCTGCCTCGGGTCTGAAATAGAAGCAATAACCTTAGAGCTAAATACAGGTTGAGAATAATTGTTCTGAGTTAAACTTCATTATATTAATGAATTAGGCAATTTGAGAGAAAGGGTGATTGGTTCCTGTTGATCAAAGGGAGGATGCTCGCCAGAGGACAGCTGATAATGTCATTTATGGCACAAAGAGAGGGTGAGAGAGACAGGAATAATTATTGCCTAGGGATGTCTGGTGGTAGCAAAAATCATAATGTAATATGCAATCAATATCTGTGTGATTTGCTATCCTGGAGTCAGGAATTTTAGTACTCGGATTGCCTTTTGCAGCGCTTTTGGAGACCTTCCTTGCAGGCCAGGAGTGAGAGGTCAGAGGTGCAGTGGATGATTTCTTACTGAGTGTTTCTGCCCCTTATCAGTTTGCACATGTTAATTTAAGGTGCTGCCTGCAGTTGTTGCCTCCAGCCTGTCAAATCTGTCATGCAAAGTGCACGTGCAGGAGGGCACTGGTAGGTCTTGGTCCTTCTGTGTCACTTAGAAATCAGATTCTATTAAGCAGCTGTGGTTAATTGCCAGCACTTCTGAGCTCATCACTATCCCTTCGATATTGTTTCCTGTGAAGTGACAGTTCCAGAGGAACTGTGATTTCCTAAGGACCTAAATCTTCACATAAATTTAAGTTTCTTAGTGGACTTCTGGAGAAAAGCTAGAAAATTCTAAAATCTGTTTAACTCTACACCCAGAAGATAAATTATTATGGTGGGAGGTGGATTATTATTTGTGATTACCTCATCATTTCTAAAATATTCTTGGAAGACTGAATCACAATTTCTCGAGTGATTTGGTTTGGCAATACTGAAATGAGTCTTTAAGGACAGCTCTGTAACAGTCTAAAGGCACAAGTGGAGAACATCCATATTTGTTACTCAAAAATGAAATAGCAATTGTTCTCAACTAAAATATGAGCTATGTCTCAAAGCAGCTAATAAATATGAGATTCAATATGCAATATCCAAATAGCTGCAAAGTAGGTAATTGCCCCAGGTGTTAATATTTTCCACAGTAGTTGGGAATTTTGCACTCTTCCACTAAATTGCAAACAGAGGTGCTGGATGTACCCAGCTAACCCCAAGAGACACAGACAGACCAAAACCCCTGTGCTTCAAAAATACATTGCAGTTATCTACAACATCTGGGACTCAGCAGGGAGTTAAAGGCTCAAGTATGGGATTAAAAACATCAAAACTACTCTTGGCCAGGCTGAAGTGATCTGTGGAAGATTCATAGTTCACAGCACGGCCGTGGCAGAGCCCAGCAGCCCTGTGTCTGTGCTGGCACATGGGATGCTCAATGTTAGGGTCTAACAAAAATCCAAGGGGAATTTGTTTTAGTTTGTAAAATCTGTCTGCAAGTCTAATTTTGACCAGCAGCAACTTCAGTGAGTGGGCTGGTGCAAAATTTTCACATGATTTGTACTGGAGGAATATATACTTCCATATCTATAGAAACACCCACAGACATTCTTTTAGAGAATCACAATAGTCAGTATGTGAGATCTCACTGCTCCAGAGGCCTTCTGCTCCACTGGTGGATGAATCAGACTCCATGTACCATGGACAATGAGGATCCAGTGCCTCACTTTTCTATGCCTGCCTTATTTCAAAATGTAAAGGTCACCTAATCCACGTTAAGTGAACTGTACGATGGAGAAGATGCTCCAAGGCCACAGAGACTGAAGGCAATAAAAGGAGGGAATGGTGGGTCAACCTCTGAGGATGTTCCTGTGGCACAAAGGAACTGGATGAAGTTCCTTATTGACAGTAAACAGCCAGTGATAGCCAGCTAATGTCTGACACTTGCTAACAGTGGGTTTCAGTGGGGACAGAGGAGGAAACAACATAGAGAAGGGCAGTGCCTTGCCCAGAGTCAGATCTGGGGTGCCTGAGTTGTCATCCCTGATACCAAGTTCTTCTCTGACCTGCCACCTCTCGTTTCCATCAGTGTGACTGAAAACTCCTGGGCGGTTGCATTCCTGGGCAAGGCTGCCCGAGCAGCAAATTCACCCAGGTCTGTGGCACTGTGAGCACCTAAGGCAGCCCTTCCCCATGTTCTGACATTCAGGAGTTCTCTACACTATGTCTTTAAAGTGAAATCAAGCCAGGCTTAGCCCATGGGGCGGAGGGAGAGGGCACCTCTTGGGGGCTGGAGCCTGGTGTGCTGAGTCTCCCATGGCACAGCAGTTCCCAGCACTGTGCAGTTCAGAGCTGAGGTCAGACAGAACTGGAGTCTGGGTGAAAAGAAGAGCAGCATGAAAGCCTGGTGCAGCTGAGCAAGTAAAAAGAGGCGGTGAACAAAGGGAGCAACACATTAGTCGGTCCTTCTGAGGGTGCTGTGGGAGGCAGAAAAGACATGGGAAAGGGTTATGGGTGTATAAGAGAATGACTATATTCTGCCAAGGAAAAAAGGTGGGTTTCCAGGGCTGGTTTTAACTTCATGAGCCATTTGATATAAAATTCTCAGAGAAGCTCAAAGGGGCACTAAAAAATAATTAAGGCTCTACATTCCCAGAGTCCTCTTTTATTTTATGCTATGGGCAATCTTGAAGCCAAGGGGACAGGGGAAAGCAGTGCAATGAGCTCCGTGGCTGACAGACTGTTTAAATGTAAGAGTGTCCCAGCACTCAGAGGAGAGGAGCTCTGATTTCAGGCCTCTGAAGTGCTAAATTACAAATGAAAACTACAGCAAGTTCCACCAGAACTGCAGCCCTCGATACTACAGATTGTTCCTAACAAACGAAAGTTGACAGAATAAAGGATGGGGGTTGAGGGATGTCTGCACTGCACGCCAAGGTTTTTCTAAAAATATTTTACACCTGCCATTTGTTCTGCACTCTGATCATATTTTGTCTATGAGGTAGAGAACTCGTAGTGCCAAAGGGAATGTGGTTTATGTTCCTGAGTCTTAATGCTTTTTCCCTTCTGTAAGGCAAAACTTCTTACTACTGTCACTAAAATAAAGCCAAGAGGACAAAAGTCACACATGCACTGCCACGGTCACAGTTTAACTGTTCCTCTCGCTGATCTTTGGAAACAGTCCCTTCAGCAGGATTTTACAGCTCTGGCACTTCGATTTAGCAAACTTTTTATGCAACTCATGAGAGGAATGCAGCCAACTCTGTACACTCAATTTAAATCAACTTGCTGATGATATAAAAAAGAGTGCTGAACCACCGGTTTGCTTCATCTGCTCCAAAACTACCAACACAAACCCTGAGGTATTTATTCCTGAAACGTTAATAGAACAGTCTGGGGCATCAGATCAGTACATGAACTCTGCTTTGATCCCATGTCGGTCCAAAGAGCTGATTTAACAACTAGTTGTTTGGTTACTTGATAGTTCAGAATGCAACTGGGCTGTTTGCTACCACCAAGCTTTTGCGTGCTGCGATGTGGTGGGAGCAGAGGGTGCAGACTGTGTAGCGAGAGATTGCAAGCAATGTAAGCAATGTTTAGTAGCTTTCTCATTTTGCATCATGAAGGAGGGATGATCCTTGTGTGGTTTATAGAATCATAGAATTGTTTGGGTTGAGAGGGACCTTGAGAACGCACCTAGTCCAACTCCCCTGCAACGAGCAGAGACATCTTCAACTATATCAGGTGGCTCAGAGCCCTGTCCTCAGTTTGTACAAATTCCCACAGTTGAGCTGAAGTTGGGAACTGCAAAACTGGTACCCAGGCCAGGCTGTGCCCTCTGGGCTCACCCCTGTGGCAGGGACCCTTGAGAACACGGTGCAGCACTGGAGCACTGTGAACTCCACCCCTGAGCCGGCTTCCCTTTGCACAAGAAACCAGATCAGTTTAATTTTGGTGGCTGCTACCAGCCTTCTGATCAAGAGTGAGGTCTGTCCTTGACCCACACAGCTGATCCAGCCCAGACTGTAGCTGTCCACTGAACCTCTGCCCTGCCACACCGGTGCCTCTGAGCAGGTTCACAGATCTTAGACTGCAATTTTCAAATGTTATTGATTTGCCCTGAATTGAGTGAGCCCTGCAGACCAAAGTACTTTGAACTTGTGCTCGGGTGGGGACTTGGGGTGAAGTGACAGGATGCACTAGGCAGCACTGAGGGGGTCACATACTTATGGCTCTACCCTTTCCTTCAGTGTAAATTAAAGAGAAATTTCCGAGGCTTAACTTGCACCAGCAATTTTAAGGAAGTAAATTGCATGTTCACATGAGAAAACACAAAAGAGCTTGCACAACTGAGCAAATGCTTCCTTTTTTCCCCTCCACTCCTTTTTATGTCTTTTCTATCAAAGCAACTGCCCTTACCCGACAGCTGAATGCTGGGGGTGTGCAAATGACCCCGGCGATTGACTCGGTGAGAACAGAAGGTTGCAATGTTAATGTTTGATCTTAGAAATTCAGCACCAAACTTTAGCAAAAGATAAATAAATGGGTGAAGGAGACTGAACACAAAGCAGGCACCTCTCATTGCTGTAAGGAGGGAATTAAAAGCATTAAAATCTTCACATTTGTGTTGAGAAAACTGGAAGCTCTTCTACAGACTCGTCTCCTTGCAAAGCACCAGAACCAAACCCTGTTTGTCAAATCTTTATATTAAAAGGTGCTGCAAAAAACCAACCTTGTTTCCAGAGATTTTTCCTTGCTGCAAAGCACAGCGGCCCTTCAGATGCAGAGCTGGTTACAGTGGAACAAATCAGCCTGGGAAGAGGATAAGCTCAATGACCTTTAAGACAAATGATCTCAGTTTAAATCACAGGAATAGAAATATTACAGAACACATCGAAGAGTCTCCACTGTCAGAGTTGCTCAACCTCCTAGGCAGTTTAGGTATCAGTATTGTGCTGTCAATAGTAAAACTGTAAGTCTTGAAATCTAGGCATACAAACAGAAATAATACACAGAGCTAACGTTCTCCGTTTTCCAGCAATCGATCCAGTATTTTTCTAATTCCTCTTAAAAGCAAAATTATCCACTTAAAATTAGGTACCAAATGATGCGCTTTTAAGGACCGTTCTGTCCGCGGATGTGCCGTTAGCGGAAAGATAAACCAGATGGCAAACTCAATAAAGAGGAGCCAGTTAAACAGAGACAGATGAACGCCTAAAAAAACCCCTTTGCTCCATTATTGCTTTTGAACTGGTTGTCATGGCACTAGAAATGGATACCACTGTCAGCCTCCCACCTCCGCCCGGCCAGCTCTTCTCAGCCTCTGTCCAAAGCACAGAGCTCACGCCGGTGTGAAAAACACCCTCTCCCAGCACCACTCCGCTCCCACCAAACAGGGGTGCGTGCGTGGAAGTCACACCTCTTGTCACATCGAGGGCACCCAACAGGAAAAGACTGACCTTCAGTCTCAAATTCCAGTTTGAGAATGCTAAAGTTCAAATCATTTTAATCCTGTGCTCCGTCTGTGGCTTACAATCCACTGCCAAGAGCCAAGGACTATCCACTTAGCACTGGAGCTCTGTACGACTGGAGCTGCCATGGAACATAAGCTGACCTTTGTCAGATTTACACATTAAAGCAGTTTCTCTTCCCCTTGACAATGTCCATTAGCAAGGAACACTGTTTGCCAAGCAGACGGAAAAGAATAAGGGAGGCAACTTCAAAATAGCCCTGGAAAAGCTGAGTTGTTCTGTCAGCCTCTGAATTCTTCCTCCTCCCACACACATTCGATTTTGAGAATCTATTAAATTAAAATTGGCAAAATCCACTAAAATAAAAACCTTAGAATGTCACAGTGCAGTTGCATTACATTTCTCCTTTTAATAGAGCATATCAAATGTGAGTTTACAATGAGTTTAGTAAGCTGTAAATCAGCACTTTTATTCAGTTTTGTTTCTGAGCTATTAATCCCTAATACAGAGGCAGAACGCTGATGTGCTGGTCTAGGACCTCCCGAGATAATAGTTCAAATAATCCCAGTGACATGGAAAGGGAATTTCATTGAATCACCTGAGTCCCTGCTAGGCACACCCTCATCCCATAACTCAACATTCACAGAGCTTATAGTCTTAATTATCAAGGAAAAAGAACGGAATTCCCTTCCGGCTTCACTGAGCAGCAGTTACGGAAAACAAGTGGAATTTTGCTCAAATAATTGAAGGCAAGTCCTTAATTGGGTTCTGTGCTCTGTCAGTGGTGTTTTGGGTAAAGAGCCCCGTGTGGTGCAGCAATGCAGCCACCCTTCCACTGCTCCTCTGAGTCAGACTTTGGTGCATCCTCAGCACAAGGAACAGCAGTGCTTGGATGCTCAGCAGGACAGGAAAAACACACACCACCACAGCCAAGTAATTTTAAAGAATTTTAATACAAACTTAATATAAACTATTTCAGTCCCTCTTAACATGTAAGACACTGACTCAAAATACTTTTATACCTTTTTTCAAGTATTGCACAATGTAGGTACAAAATTAATATTTACGATTACATTTTCTTCCATAATATATAGCAAAAATCTTTAAACTTTTAACAGAAAATACAATTTGTGTTTCTTTTGAAAAAAGCAAATATTTCGTACATTTTAATTCCACCACTAAGGAATATTCTGTACACAACTTTTTTACTTTTTTTTTTAGAATTGATGTCTTTAAGATGGATATCTTACAATTTCAGTAAAAAAAATACAACATGAAGCTGCTGCAGCTGTCACAGATCACTGTAGTAAAAAGATATAAATGCAATACCATGTTGTAGAAACAATATATATACTCTGATATTTTACAAACTTTGTACTAAATTAAATTATACAATTAGAAAAAGACCAATAAACCCACCTATTAGTGCCAATTTTTTAAATATATATACATATATGTCTGTGCACATATATATATATACATATGAAAAAAATTAGCCACGTCCTTGCTATATCTTAAATACTGTAAGAGGCCATATTTTGAGAGTATATTTTTGTAATGTACAGTCAGTATAAAATAATTTTGTGCTTGGTTGGCAAATGAAAAAAATGATGCATGTTGTATTTATCTAACCAAGCCTGAATGTATTCATACTACAAGCCTTAAAAAAAATCTCAAGAGGTGGAAAAAAAGATACACCCTTGGGTACGTGCATTTTAACTTGTACAATAGTATTTACTTGGATTTCACTTTCGGTTTATTTTTAGTTAGCCATAACTGGCTGGAATTGCTGGTTAGAATACTGCATGTTGTTTAAACTAAAATTCAAGCCATCCACAAAAGACTTCTCATTTAGACCTCCATAGGCTGCAAACATATCAAAGGCATTACTGTACTGGAGAGGACTGAGGTTAAGGGGGCTGTCACCAGGAAAGATGCTACTGGTACTACCTTGACCCTGCATGTTGGGGAAAATGAACTCCTTTGCGTTAGGAGACAGGGCAGAAGTCTTCTGCTGTTGCTGTTGCTGCTGCTGGCTGCCTAGGCCAAGCCCGTAGAGAGAGTGCATGGAGGAGGAGAGGGCTTTCTGCTTCAACAGGTCATTGACATTCAAGCCAAGGTTGGTGGGAGAGGTGCGGGCGACCTTGTTGCCACGGCCGCTATTCTTCATTTTGGTCGAGCCAAACTTGGTGGCAGCAAATGTGGCAGTGGTGAAGGTTAAAGGCTGAGTGGAGCGGGGCATGAAAGTTGGGCTCACAGCAGCTGAGTGACCAAAGGGAGGAGAAGGAGAACTAGACACTGAAGATGCTGGGTCACTAATTGGCATGAACACCTGGGCCTCTGGGTTAAAGCTGTTCTTGATTTCCTTATCCAACTCACATCCATTTTCATTATCATCCACATAAAGCACTTTCACTGGTCCCTTTTCACCGATTTGGTACGAAACCTCAAACGGGTCAATCCAAACACTAAGATCCTGAGGCAAGTTGCCACGAACATCATCAATGTCCAAACCACTCTCTTTGGATGCTTGTTCTATGACTGGGTCCACTTTCTCCCCTATATGAATACATCTAAACCCTGATCCTTTGTATGGCTTTTCTGGATACCAGTGCCCTTCATATTTCTTCTTAAGAAGTCTTTCAAGCTCTTCACCAAAGATGTTGACACGTCGTCTGGGAAGCTTATTGTACAAATATGAAATAATAAAATTGAGTGCTACTTGGATTTCAAGCTGCATAGCTGCTATGCCACAGAGTTATAAGTCTGTTTCAAAACCCAAAGAAGAAAGTGTTCAAGACGCCACAGGGAAACAAAGTTTCATTCAAAGTGCTGATTCGAGTTGATTATTATCCTTCACCTTGAGTGCTCTTGTTCCTTTAAGAAAAAACAAAAGCAAACACATCCAAATAAGGAAAGAGTAAGATAAAGCTCGGAGGCCTATTCTTTCAGCTTCACTTTCTGCATAAAATAGGTTACTTTTCAAGTGAAAAAATGTGCACCAAACTATTTCAGTTCCTGCCTGCGGAAGGTGAGGATGTCAGCTCCATTCAGCCCGACTTACAAACAACGCTGCAGAAGATGGGCTTGTGTTTACATATACAGCATGGGGCACTTCCAAATCACATGAGCTGGTGGTTTGGTTATTCACAAAGCAGCAAGGATAATTTTTAAGACATCACAGAACTGCCAAGCCTGTCAAGGGTTCAATTACCAACCCTTATTTGGATGATTTATAGTACTCAGCTGCAAAATTTAGCACCAGACTATTAGTTTAGCCTGAGAGGTCTTAGTCCAAGGGTCATTTATCAATTTAAAGTTTGCAAACATATTGACTGCACTGTAGGCTGCAGAATTATAAAAATGTCAACAACTGCCTTAGAAGATTTCACACAAATAACTAAAATTATGCAACATTTATTTTAAGTCCAAGCAAATCTTCCGCATAAACTGTGCACGGGTGAAATGATGCAAACTGAGGAGAAAATGTCCGCTGTGCACATCCAACAGTTCTTCCTCCAACTGCTCAAATTGAAATGCAGTCAGCACATACAGAACAGATGCACGTATGGTCTGTCATAAGGGTGGCCATGACCACGGAATTATTACGATAAATTTATTCACAATTTTTTAATAAAAATTATTCTATATTTTAAGATGTGAGGTACAATATATACTCAATTATTATATTGCACTGTTTGTAGTTCAGATTTCAAAAAGTTGCAGAGCTAACAGGGCTTTTGGCAGCCTCAAACACGATTGCCTTTCTCCTTCTCCATGACTCCATTTTATATTTAATGTAAGATATGGTTGCCACTCCTTCACAGAGGACAAAAGAGAAATTAGCTGTCTAAAGTTAGAGAAGGGACAAGAATCAGGTATTAACACATGTACTGCTAACACAAATCTTGCAGTACCTTGGTATAAAAGTACTCATGGAAAGCACACACCTTTGTCAAAAAGTTCCAATGAAACAAAATATGTTGGGGGGTTTTTTTGCTCAAGTTAAAAGCCCCAAACAGAATTTCAATTAACAGTGGATTTTTCTGCAGTGCATCACCAGGAACAAAATTTAGTGTAGCTGTCATTAAAGATTAGAGAAATCAAAGTCAATATCAAAATCCTTTAACAATGAGGCTACACTGCTTTTTTATTTCCTGGTCCGAATAATCTCCTTTTAAAGTCTGGAACCCTATTTCCAAGCCACTCGTGTTCTCCCCAACATGGTATGGGAATAGTTTGAAAGCCTGTATGATAAGGCGACCTTTAAACGTTTGCTGGATCAGCACCGGGTGGGGATAAGGAAAAGATCAAGGGCAAACAGAAGATATTTACAAAAGGGGCACAATCAGTACAGAAAAGCTGATTGGGTGGTTAAACGGGGCATTTAAAAATGATTTATTAATCCATCTGTTTTGTTTCCCTTCCCCCCACGTCCTTTAAGAAAGAAACGATCCTTTCAAGGCGCACCGGGGCTGACGCTGTGAATTTTTTTTCTAAGCGAAAACCGATCCGCGGGCGCAAAAAAAGCAGCTGATCAAACAAATCAGCCTAATCATTTCTAAGCTTTTTTTTTTTAATATATTTACGGGCAGAGGAACGGCGTTTCTGGGGGGGGGGTCCGAGCCCCACCGGCGGCCCGGCAGCAGCGCCCTGGCAGGAGCCTTAAGCAGCGGGAGTTACATAACCAGGCAGTCGGGTCTCATTAGATTTCTGCTCACAGCCCCGGAGCTCCGGCGGGAGGAGGAGGAGGAGGAGGAGGAGGAGGAGGAAGAGGAGCATTTTCTGAGCCCGTAATAAAGAGGATGGAGAAGAGGCCGGGGGGATGCCGGCGGAGGGGTGGGGGCTGCGGGGCCCCTCTGGCAGCGCAGGTCCCGCAGGGCGCTGCCGGCGCTCCCGGAGCGGCCCAGCGGCGATTACTCAGCCGGCACCGCTCCCTCCTTTTAACCCGAGAGGGGAGCGACCCCTGGCAGCCCGGCCGTGCCCTCACCCCCAGCCCCTTCCATGAGGAGCCCCCAGACCCGCCGGGTCCCTCACGGCCGCCCCGTCACGGCGGGGTCGTGACCGCCCCGGCGCCCCCCCCTCAGCGGCCGGTGCTGCCCCAGCCCCGCCGCCCCAGGCTCCCCGCACACCCCCCCGCGCCTCACGGCCGGTACTCACCCGGGGGTGTGCGGGCGGTAGTGCAAACAGTCCCGGCGGGGGTGTGAGGGCGTGTGTGTGTGTGTGGCGGCGGGTGGGGGAGGTGCGGCTCAGCACCCGACCCCCATCTCCGAGCGCCGGCTCTCCCTCGGCGCGAGGATGGGAGGGGAGAGGAAAGAGATGTCCAAAAAAAAAAAACAAAAAAAGAAAAAAAAAAAAGAGAGAGAAGGGAGGGGGAAGGGTCGGAAAAAAAAAGGGGGGGGAGGGAAGGGGGGGAGGGCAGCGCTGCTCACACCCCCACGACGGGCGCGCTCGGCCGTCGCAGCTGCGCTCCCTCTGCTTCTGCCCCACCGCCCGTCGCGCCCCTACTTATACCCTCCCTTGCCCCGCCCACCGCCGCGCCCCGCTCGGCCACGCCCACAAGCCCCCGCCCTCCACTGACTCGCGTCCGCTGCAGCCACGCCCACAGCCGTCACGCTCCGCCCCTAACCCCGCCCACCGCGCGGGGCCCTGCGCTGCTGTCCCTTCCTCCGGCGCGGCGCGCGCGGGGCCGCTCTGACGTCAGCGCGCTCCTCGCCTCGCAGCCCCGTTGCGTCACCACCCACGTCAAACCCTGCCCTGGCGCCCCTCGGCCCCGCGGGGAAGCGATGGGATGGGAAAGGGAGGGAGGGGATAGCGCTGAACTACATCTCCCATGACCGCCGCGGCCCGCGGGGGCCTGGACGGCGGCGATGGCGGGCTGTGCCCGCACGGCGGGGGCAGCGCAGGCCGCCCCCACGCTCTGGGGGCACCCGCGCGGGCCCCCCCAGGAGGGGGCGCGGGGCGGCCCCTCACAGACATCCCCCCCCCGCCCGGCGGCTAAAAATACTCCCCACAGGTAGCAACGCCCGCCGATTGGCTGCCTGCCCAAGGGGCTGCCGCTGATTGGCCAGCGCGGCCGGGGGGGCGGAGTCAGACCCGGGTGTGGGGAGGTCGGGGGTCCCCACAGGCAGTTGGGGTGCGACCCACCGCTGTGTGCCCTACAACATCCCCGGGGGTTCTCTTTAAACACCCCCCGGGGGGTTCAGGGTTGCGGCCGGGGCGGTTTTCCTCACGCCACCAGCAGGACCCAGTTCTGGAGGACAAACTGTGAAGGGTTTTTTTTTTTTGGTTGATTTTTTTTCCCCCCCTCTCTCTCCGCCTCTTGCTCTGTTTGTATAATAATAAAGCATTTTGGCATAAACGCTGCATGGGCCCCGGGAGAGATTTGGAAATGCCACTCGGAAGAAATGCCAGGACTTTTAACCCTTTGGTGCTGAGAATATAGATGAGACTGGGAGGCAGGAGCCCAAAAACTGAAATACCAAGGGAAAGAAAAGGATAATATTTAGGATTTTCCACAGCTCAAAATTTCTGCTGGAAGGCTGCGTTCATTGTAAAACACATAGTTTTTATTCGGACATTTCAGTGTTGATGCTACTGGGATTGCAGTGTTGCAAACAGCTTGAAAATCTTGATTAAGACTAAAAATATTTACGATTCCCCCCCCCCCCCCCATTTCTCACCCATTTTTAACCATAAGGGGTTGCACATTCCTTCAGTGAAAACTGGGTCACCTGTCGTCACTGTGCACCCCGAATGGAAAATAAAGTATGAACATTATGAAATTACAAGCGTTAGCAACTGGGAGACTACTGGGAACTGCTGTAGCATCACTGGGAATCTGAGTGAGAGCCCCGGGTATTTGTTTTGAACAGAAAGAGACAACGTGAAACAACTCCCTAAACAGAGAAGGCGAAAAGACAAATAGAGGTGGTTGTTTTGTTTTGTTTTTTCTGACATTAGCACTCAGAAGTCTCCCTGGTACAACAAACACACCTTGGGAGGTGACATCAGCCCCCAGTGACAGTTCAGTGTCTCGCTGTGCTCAGTTCTGGGGTGGCAGCAGCAGATTTCCCTTTGAAGTGGGAAAAACTGCACAGCGCCGCAGATCAGTGTTTTCAGGTGAGATTCCGTAAGGAGCTTTACAAACCCGGTAACTGCTGCTGAGCTGCTAAAAAAAGCGGGGTTGTAAAAGCGGAGACTTTCTTTTAAATGGCTTTAGCACTACATGAGAAGCATTAGGAGCTGAATTAAATGTACAGAGCCAAGGCATTGGTAATCAAGGCAGCCGTGGGATCCTTTAAAGCTGTAAAAACAGTGGCTTTTCTGTGACTTAAGGAAAGGCAGCTTCTCGTGCAGTCCGCGCTATCAAAGAAATCTGATAATAAATGGAACTAGATCATCTTTAGGGTCCCTTCCACCCCGAACCATTCTATAATTCTAAATGTTAAAGACAGGTAATTACCCTAAGAATAACCTCTTCAGGTCTGCAAGAATCAAACCTGCTTCTAGTGGCCCATTCAAAGTTCCAATTTATCCTTGTTTGTCTGAAAAAAACCCCTGCTTTTAAACTGCAGTGATCCACATATAGCACATCACAAGTAGGTGGCCAAACTGTAGTAGTGTTAAATTATTAACACCTAAACCCAGAGTTTAATCCGGGATAATTTGTATTCTTAAAACCTCGGCTGCCTTTTTGATCCACAAGGGTCAGAGTAGGGCCTGCAGTATTTTTCAGTCTTTTTGATTAATACATAGCAATAACAAAATGTCTGCCTCTCCCTGCTAGAAAAATCTTTAAAAACGCAATCAATACAAAATAACTCCAGCAGCAAAATTTTACTCATGTTGCCAATTCTATTCAACTGGAAGATTAATCTTAAAAGAAAAGAAAAAATATATATTCTCATCTTTCCTGACAGACCTCGACAAGTTTTTTCCCCAGCAGAGCAAATCAGCACAAGTATTTCAGAGCAGGGCAGGAGGCAGGAGTGAGATTAGAAGTAAGAAGACTTTCTTAATCTATATTAAATGAGAAGGGCTTGATCTCATGCCCTGTTCATAGCCAGATCCTGCAATGCTGGCCAGCAGACAGCAACTGAACTACAATTTCCATGGTCTGGGTCTCTGCAGAATAATCTCTAGAGCCAAAATCTCTGTATTGTAAAACTACTTACTACAAGACCTTGCAGATACTACATAGTCTCAGCAAGGAGCTTTCTTTTCTACTAAAGAAATCTAAATTTGGTTCCTCAAATAATTGCTAGTGCTCTTTAAAATTCTAAATCAGCAGCATTTATTGATCAACACAGTATCTGAAACCAAAATACAGTTTGTTAATCTTAAAGGTTGTTAAAAGGCATTAAATATATCTCAGAACATTTTTGCTAATTATGTCAATGAGGACAAGAATTTAAGAGCAGTAGGAAGAAAGGCTCAGAATTTCCACCACCCATCTTTGTCCTTTTCATAGAATCCTCTTCTCTGCTAAATGAATGTTGCTGTACAGAATATATAAGATTTATCCTGACGGTGGACATGAAGCTTTGTATCATACATTCCTGAAAATAGTACAGTCTCTTTTTTAACATTTTCCTATTTGGGAATACAATTCTCCCTTTAGCGTGGGAGCCTGAGCTTTGATTTTGAAAAATGGAAAGCTTTCCCCATTGTATTCATCTCTCTCTAGCCCAGTTTTATCCATTTGCTGATTTTAACGTGTGTTCCTTTTCCCCACCATCTATCAGTGTGAGCAACCAGGCCTGGCTGCTCTCCAGCGTATATCTTAGCAGTGAGTTTGAAATGTAGTGTAGATTCTCTTACATTTCACTTTAGCATCTTAAGCAGTGGTTTTTCCATAAATACAGATTATAGAGGGTGTCTGGACCCATCTGGACCCAGCATCAGGAGCTCTCTGATCTCAAAGGTTTTTTGAGTTGGGAAACCACGAAATCACCTTGCAAGTAACATTGTTTTGATGGAATAAAGAATAACCAAGAACAGAATTCAGCCAGAACAGCCAGGTCATGTTCTAGGAGAGCCCCAACTCGTTTCTGATCCTGTGAAGAGGCACACAGTTCCCTCTGAGGGAGAGCAGCTGGGGGACAGGGGCTGCTGCCACAGCTTGAGCTGCCAAGTGAGTGCACAAGGCAGGATGTGTGGGATAACTCTGGGTGTGCAGATTCCTGTCCCCAGGGCAAACAGCCACAGTCAGAGACTCTGTGCCCAGGCTTGTGCCTCTGTAGCTCAGGGGGCTGAGGAATGGGATTAGTGTCCTGGGAGATGTGCAGGGAGGGGATGGAGGAAGGAGGACCTGGCGGTTGGGTAAATGTCTGTCAGTCTGAATAGAGGGACAGTGAATCTTGACAGAGAGGGAGGAATAGCCCTGGAAGTGCAGGGAGGGAAGTATTGCAGCAAAAGGGGGAGAACAGAGGGTACAGTAGTGATGGGCTGTGACCATGAGAACAGCCCTGCATTGTTCATCTGACCCTGGGAGCCCTGAAAACCCTGGTACCAATTCCCATGGGATGCTCTGGGTCTGGCTTGCCCCACAGATCAGCTGGGCAGGCAAATCCAAACACCAGCAACAGAAATTGCTCTGCTGTTACAGTGTGTGATGTTAGTGGCTCCAGTGATGCCAAGATTTTAGAAACTTGTCCATCAAGAGCTGGAGCTTGTATGCCATGGATTGAAGAGCAGTTTCCAGATCTGAGTATCTATGGCTTTGTGCAGCTGAAAGAAACCCTCCTAAGCTGGTACTTTCATAGATATTAGTGAGTCTTCTAAAAAAAAAACCCAAAACCTAAAAATATATATATAATATATTCATGTTATTTTGGTGGGCCAACATCACTCAAAGGGACTGATCCTCCTAGACTGACCTAAGGAGCTTAGAGCTCACAAGGACATCACTCTCTCTTAAGTGGAATGCTACTAATGTTATAGCTTACCTGGCAAAAGTTGCTCGAGTCCTGAACAAGACACAGAAGGCAGCTGGAGGAAAAATAAAAACAGGAATAAAGATTTTGCACCAAATCTTTGCTCTTCCCAAAGTTTCCCTGTCAAGGATGAAGTAAAAATGGGGGGGGGTTGTACTGAAGATGGTATGAGGCAGGATCTGTTCTTGAAAAGGAACCTGATAAGTGACATTTTGAGAAGCGGGTGCAGATTCCAAGAAGGCCAGGTAAAAAGAGTGAAAAGAGGAGGAAGGGATCTACAATTGCTGTGAAAAATAGTGGTCACAGGTAGATAGATATTGTAATAAGAGGGGGAGGGAATGGGAAACATTTTATGAGTATCAGAATTTTCTATAGCTGTGAATAAATGGGCTGAAGAAGGAGGAAGGAAGATTGATTTCATACCTTAGAGAGGTTGACCTTTGAGGAAAGTTTTATTAAAATCCAATATAATTTTTTCCTCGAGTTCACCTTTGTGCTGGGATTCTGCCAGTTTAATGTCAGTTAGTTCTGCAGTATCTGTTAATAGATAAAATTATGAGGTGAGGACTGTCCTAGCTGATAGCCATGTAACTTCTACGTTAATCAGCTTCAAGTGCTTTACTGCGTTCATTCCAAACAATGATTCATAAACAGTTTTAAAGAAACAGAAAGCTGCTTTTTAAACTGTAAGAACTTTTATGGGGATCCAAAATAAACACTGAAGATGAAGGGCTGGTCTTTTGCCCTTTCAGTTTCTGATAGATGGAGGTAGCTTGAAAAAGTCTCATGAAGAATTTACTTAAGAATTTTGTGTACTTAGCATTTTCCAGGAAGACAAGTAAATCTTTTTTTTTCCTGAGGAGGGAATTCCGGGAAAACTGTTCAGTCTTGTTCAAGAGAGATACTGAATGTGAAAAAGGAGATAAATGGGAGGAAACTGATTATAAAGAAAAGTTTCATTCAGTCTGTTTACCTGAAAGAAGGAGCAGAGGAGGAGTCACTGTTTACCAAAACTTCCCGATAAACACAGAAGTTCTGCTAATTTTTTGACATTCTGATTATCATCAGCTAGGGAACATGCCTCAATTTTTGCAATAAAACACAGAACAAAATATAATTTTAAATTCCCTAGAAGATCTCACGTGGTTCTTGACTAAGAATTTAAAGCACCCAAGAGCAGTGCAGCTCAGTGAGAAGCCATCCATATTTTAAGCTTTCAGGTGATAAACAGTCTGTTTTTTCTGGAGCGTGTGGCTGTTGATTGGGTTTCTTAAGCCTTTGTGTAATATTATTCCTATTAGAATTGGTGTTTTATGCTGAGCCCAGTACTTGCTCAGGACTTGGAGAGTGTAATTACATGCAGAATATCACCTTTAGGAAAGCCAGGTGTTGATATTGGTCTGAGAGCATTGATTTGAGAAACGCTGAATTAACCTGCTGTGCTGTCACACTGTGACAATGTGAGTGATGGTGACTTCAAAATAAAATGAGTTCAAATGTCAATGTCTTCATAAATACAGTCTGAAAATCCTTCTCATGAGAAGATGGCTGGAAACTGTCTTCAACCTTCCAGTATCTGAAGGGGGCCTACAGGGAAGTTGCAGGGGGACTCTACATCAGGAACTGTAGTGGCAGGACAAAGAGTAGTGGGCACAAATTGAAGGAGGGGAAATTTAGGCTGGATATTAGGAAGAAATTCTTTACTGTGAGGATGTTGAGACACTGGCACAGGTTGCCCAGGGAGGTTGTGGATGCCCCAACCCTGGCAGTGTTCAAAGCCGGGTTGATTAAGGCCTCGAGCAACTTGGTCTAGTGGAAGGTGTCCCTGCCCATGGCAGGGGGGGTGGGACTAGATGACCTTTAACGTCCCTTCCAACCCCTTTACATTCTGTTAATGATTCTATGATTCATGTTAATAAAAAACCAAGGGTGTTTCTTTACAGATGAACAGAAACTTGGTGACTCTGCACTTGTGCAGACACGAAGAACTAGTTGAGTGGAAAGATGCCAGCTTATGACAGCTGAAGGTGTGACCCTGAATATTTAAGGGTATTATCCATGGGGGGGGAAAAAAAGCCAATGGAAATTTCTTTTCAAGCTTGCTGTGCTCCAGATCCGGCCCTTATTCAAGACCATCAAGTCATGGAGACAGGAATAAGGGAGGGGAATGAGGATTCAGGCTGTGTGTTTACTGCCAAGACATACAAAGTGGATTTTACATGGTTTGTGCATCCTGTTTTTAAGACAATCAATGTATCCTGTTCATGTAAGGAGCAGTTCATGGAAGACTCGGTCTGTCACCGGCATTGAAAAGATCATTCAGTTTAAATAGTAAATCACTCATTTCCTCTCCAACTTCTGATTCCTAAAGGTATAATTGCCAAAAATAATATAATAAGTGCCTTAAAAGATTAAGCAAAAGGTCAGATTAGCATAACATCTTTCCTGAGCTGATGGCAAAATGGTGAAGCTGAAGCCACACCTTGAAACCCCCCAGGACGGTACTCGTGGGACTTGCCAATAACACAGTTTCACACAGATTCTTCTGTTTCACAGGTCACAGCTCCTTACCCTGTGATGGACAAACTGAGAAACCCTCACCTACCTACAAATACCTGACCCACTTCATTATACCAGAATGTTTTCTCTTGAACACGCAGCCCAGTAGGAGCCATTATCTCATGCGCTATTATTAATGCAAAGGCTTCAGACGGTATCTGCACTCAGCAGTGGATCTGTCTGGTCTCAAGAGTTGCCATAACTAAGAACTTCAGAAAAAGGGATGAAACAGCCATGTTGCACAGTTGCATTGAGTTTGGCAATGGGAAGAAGAGATTTCTCCTTGATGCCACGTGATGATAATCTTACACGCTGGAAAATGAGCACTCGGAGTGACATACTTTTTATTGTAGCTAATGCAACTCGGATTTGTAAAGAAGGTGATTCTGCTATGTGACCATATTATCTAAATTGCTTTGTCGCCAACGCATTAAAAACTGAATATAAAATTGCCTGAACATAATTGAGTGCTGACTCACCCTCAGATTAGGGTAAATGGTGCAGCGTTCCAGGGTGTCTTGGAGCTTTCTGTAGCCTCACAATCCTATGTGAAATCTTCTGATTGATTTTTCTCCCCTCCAAGCAAACTTGTGTTTCATGCTCCTATTTGAGGCTAGATGCTACAAATCCAGCTGCTGTCACAAGGCATCTTCCCCCTGCTTCGTTATCTTGATCAATTTTCTGCTGAAACTCTCATCTTTCTTCCTGGCTGGTGCAGTTGCCTCCCTTGTGATTATTCCAACTCCTGGCTCTCCATATTCATAGCCACTCTTCGAGCTCCAACTCCAACTCTCTAGTTTCTAAGGCTACATAGCTGCGAATGTTTTCTCACGAAAAGCTTTTCCATAAATTCTCACAGCCTAATCCGAGGCTGCATACACACATGACACTGCTCAGAGCAGACTTTTAATAAAAGCACCTGCGAACATGAGCAAGAAAACATGGTCCCAAGTATTTTAATTTTTTTTCTCTTGAAAACAACCTTGTATCACAAATCTCCATTTGGAGGTGTAATTGTGTGACTATCCCTAAAACCAGAACAATTTTTGTGCTTTGAAATGTAAGTGGAAGAAGGGCAATTTTAAGAAGCAATGCCAGAGAGCTGAGGTGAACTGAGTCATAGATACAGGGCAGAGAGCTCAGATTTAGCTGACTGTGGCAATAAGTCAAACCAGCACTTGTGCCTTGGGCGATCTCTGTTTCAACCCTCACTCAGGTAGTGAAAAGAAGGAGCAGAAGAAGGGCCATGACCTAAATAATTGGGAGAACAGTGATTATTAATCAGCAATCCCACCTAGAAGCATTTGCAGAAGATGTCAGCCCTGAGCTGGAGGATCTGGGAGTGAAACCAGTCATGAAGGTGACAGAACTTGGTTTAGTTTCCAGATAGCAACAAGCATCTCCTTTCTGATTGACTGAACTATCGCATGAGCAGCTGCTGAAAATCAGGTAGGCAAGAGGCTGAAATTTGTTTCTTATATACGTGGGACTGGTTTCATATCAGGTAATAACTCAGAAATGAACAGTAACTTCAGCACACACGTCTGGCATAGATTCTCCAGAAGCACTTATGACTGCACAGCCCAGCCTTGCTCCTTACCAGGAATTTTAACTTTTGTTGTCTGGTAAATACCTTGCCCCAAAGAGGGTAAATCTCATTTATCTCCAACTCCAGAGAGGTAATAATGCAATTGCTCCTTAGCACCAGGAGATCAGGCATCTGCTATCTGGAAGTTCTCTTCCGAGTTGGATCACATTTTCTCCAAGTACTTCCTTCCACAGAATAAAGGGAAAATCAGTTGAAAAGGATTTCCAGAGATAAACAGTTAAGAATAAAGCTGATCGTAAAAAACCCCACCATAAATATGATAAGGAGAAGCAAATCTAAAATTTAGAGCTGATCTAGAGCTGGTTCAGAATCCAACCAGAATTAAGGATCTGATCTCATCTGGTTGATCTGCACAAAGGCTGTACCTTTGCAAAATAAAGGCACTTTAAAAAGACATAATGAAAAAAACCCAGGAATCTCCAGTGGTGAAGAAAGCAACACATTCTGAGAGAAAAAAATGACTGTCTGAACCCTTCAAAGATAGCAGTGAAATGCATAAAAGCATCGATGGCTTCCCCAGACGGGTTAGGGTTGGTTGTTACTCCCAGCCCAGGCTGCACTTGACAGCTCTCTCTCACTTACATTGCCAGAAGTGTGTTTTAAAAGGGGGAAAAAACAGATGTTCAAGCCCACTCTTCCTATCCAGATTGTTCTTGCTAAATGTTTGACAGCGGCCTGTCCAAGTGACATCGAAACGAGGACAATTAATTGTTAATGTCCCCAATTCGTCTGGATCAGAGAAATGCCTACATGACAAGGAAGAACATCGCTGGAAAGACTACAAGGAGGCACCAGGGGATTTGCAGCAGGGGGAGATGTATGGGATGTCTGCATCACAGCACGTTTAACCCCTTCATCTACAGCAATTGGTGGGTCACTCAGCTGCCCTTTATCACTGGGCTGCTGGGAGGAGCATGGGCTGAGCAGGGAGGCAGAGCACCCTCAGCTGAAAGCTCGAGCTAATTCTGCAGTGGAGATAAGCCCTTGGATAGAAATCCTTCAAAGGGATGAGACCAGGCAGGCTGTCACCACAGGCATCTCGAAGCAGGCAATCAGTCCTCCCTTTAATAAATAGAAGAAGATACAAGATGGTCAGGGCAGAGCACACTTCTTAAGTGTGTTGGAAAAATTAGGCTGAAACATCAGTCACTCCTGATCCACAAAGCAATGGAGGTTCCTGAAGAAGCACTAACGCCTGCACAATCAAACAGGAGCAACTATGCTGGTCCTGCCCTGAGGTTTGTGCTCCAAACTATAACTAATGAGTGTAAAGGCCCTAACAAAAAAAGCTTCCACAGAATCCCTTTTCTAAGGCCTTTGATTTTACTGGAACATGCACAGCGGTAAAATTCATATAGCCAACGGGAAA